GTTCGGGTCGCTTCCGGAATCTTTCATTCGTTTCAGTTGTTTGGTCTTCTGTTCGCCTAAAGTATGCTCAAGAAACTGATGGCAACCAGATTTCAGTAGTTCCGCTGCTTCTTGCTTCTTCTCGGCGCTCAGTGATTCATAGTAACTGAGCACCTTCTGTTGCATTGCTTCTTTCGATTCACCTTCTTTTTTCATTTCCATGATTTCGGATTTCTGCTCATCACTAACCCGCTCGAAATGTTTCTTGAAGTATCTGTTGATATTGTGATGATGAAGTGGTTGGTCATCATTTTGCTTTGCTTGTACATTTCTTGCTGCTAAAAAGCCACGAATCTTCTCGCATAATTGCCTTTTCATTTCTCTCTTTCTCTCCGGTTTTTTCTTAACAGTTCGCAATAAACCTGCATATATCTTTTTAGCAATATCAAGTTCGTCAGCTGCTTCAGTTCCATCATTTTCCGAGAAATTCTCTTCTTGTCGACAGTGGCTTTTCAGTTTCCTAAGTAAAATTTTTCCTACTGCATCATCTATTTTTTGTAAGTACTCCAACAGATAATTTGATTCGTAACTGGTGCGGAGATTTCCAGCGTCCCCATTCTGGCCCATTGACAGCAGCGGTTGCTTCTGAAGCCATTCATCCTGCAACCGGTTATGGTGATAATTAAAAACCATCACCTCCTCCACTTCCTAATACATCCGTAGTGTTATCTCAGAGCTTACAGCTTTGTTCTGCTCAGTTTTTTCCTTATATTAATTGGGTTTTGTCTACCCTTAGAAATAAGATAATTGGTCAACGCACGAGCTGTCGGTACGAAGATGCGTTTTTTGCATAGTTCCCCGCAGTTTTTGTCGCTACCGGCACCAGTTTCTTCGGCAGTTGCTTCTAGCTAAACAAATTAAGACTGGCCGCCAGAACTGTCAGGAAACATCCCCCTAAAATTCCATCTTTCTAGCTTTCCTGGCTCCTGAGTTAGCAACTTACTGGAAAGAACTTTCACGGGCCCGTACGTGGGTACCGCGCACACCTGATGTCTGGGTATGAGGTCGTTGAGACTTGCGTAGACGGGGAACATCCTCTTAAAATTACAGTCTTCTAGTTTTTCAGATTCATGAGTTCAACTTACCCGAGAAGAACTTTGGTGGGCCCGTGCGTGGGTACCACGCTTATCCGGGGGCTGAGTTTGAGCACACTAATGCCTACCTGGACGAGGAACATTCCTTTAAAATTTCAGCCCCCAAACTTTTTTGGTTCCCGAGTTAGTAGTTTACCCGTAAAAAACTTTGGCGGGCTCTTACGTCGTTACTACGCAGGTAATGGCGCCCAGTTTGGGGCTGGGCCCGTGCGTTCATGTAGATTAAGTTCACAAAGTTTCAACCCTGTAGCTTTTGTGGGTCTTGAGATGAAAAACCGTGACAGACGCACACACGGACACACAGACAACCCCTCGTCAGTATGCGTTTTCTGCATTGCATAGCTGCAAAAAACG